TCTCATCTCTGTCACGCAGATTGGAAAGCAGTGGCATGATCACCACCACTGCAACCACTGCTTCCTGGGTTCAAGTGATTCTCCTGTCTTAGCCTCCCAAGTAGCTGGGACTACAGGCGTGTACCACCATGCTTGGCTCATTTTTGTATTTTTAGTTAGAGACAGGGTTTCACCATGTTGGCCAGGCTTGTCTCAAACTCCTTACCTCAGGTGAGCCACCCCCCTCAGCCCCCCAAAGTGCAGGATTACAGGTGTAGGATTACAGGCTTGAGCCACTGTACTTGGCCAGGTCAAATTCTTAAATTAGAATTCTTAAAATTAGAATTTCTATGATGTGCATTTTTAATATTGAAATTCCTTTCCATAATCCCAACAGCATCGATGAGAAAGACTTTTCTTACATCCTTGCCAACACAAGGGAGACACCAAACTTAAATTGTGGCCTAGAGATTCAGGGTTGCTTCTTTTATTTCAAACAGCCAAGGATGCTTAGAGGTAAGCATCCCATTACTCAATTTGCATCTGAAAACCGTCACAATTTTTTTTCTTTACATTTGTTTTCCTGTCTCAATGAGGTTTAATGGGAAAAGGGAACTAATAGTTAAAGAAAACCATCCTGGTTTATTAGCTTTATAAGGCTTCCAAAATGCAGGGCTTTTTACATTCAGCACAAGAGTTTTTGTTTTCCTGACAGTGAGCGCGGAGGGTCCTCGTGGCCAGCAGGGGGCAGCACGTCCACACAGAGAGTCCGGCTGGGACGCCACCAGCTGATTCAACTCACGGTGTTACCTTTGCTGCCTTCTCATGGTTGGCAGTAAAGAACAAAGCTCGACTAAAAGACCAGGATAAATGGAAATATTCAGTGCCAACCAAGTGCAGGGTGGCACGGAATTAAGAGGGAAAACAGGACTGAATGCGGTGGCTCACACCTGTAATCCCAGCACTTTGGGAGGCAGAGGCAGGTGGATCAGAAGGTCAGGAGTTCACGACCAACCTGACCAACATGGTGAAA